AAAAGTCGAGCTCAGCTAATTAAAGAACGAATTACAAGCTATTCATTACAGGTGAACCTTTTCAAGAAGTCACCCGGGAACTTAGCAGATCTGAGATCTTCAAAACAATTTTCTTACAAATTTTCATTCCTAGAAAATAATAATTTATTTGCCATATCGATCTATTTAGAACCTTGCTACAAGCAGACATTTTTCAAACCAGTCACAGAAGAAAGGATTAAAAATGCACTACAAAAACTAAAATCGAAAAATGCTAATGACGCTACAAATTCTGAACAACCAAAAAAATGAGAATGAAGAAATTTTTGGAAAACAATGGTGTTTAAACAACAATCTTGCCATGATGCTATTATCAATAAGGAATTATTGCACCGCAGTAAAAAAATGAATATAACTTAAAGTCCTGTTCTCTGGTGCAGGGTCAATCGAAAAGAACTTACAATTTTGGCAAGTTTAAAGTTTTTCAATTTTATCGCCTCGAGCGAGTAATTATTAAGTGACGCAGGTTTGATTTACGACCCTTTAAGAAACAGGCTGTAACCCGAAAAGGCACTATGTTCCAATTTTTAAATTCAAGTACTATATAAAAAAAAAAAATATTAGAAATTACAAACTTTCCATTTTTTATTTGCCTAAATCACCTAATTTACTCACGTAAATTATTTCTTAAAAATACTTGACATCAACATTCGCATCCGCATCCGCATCCGCGGATACTAGCTTTCAAATATCCGCATCCACATTCGTATCCGCGGATGTCTAAACTTCCACATTTGCAACATCCCTACTACTATATGCATATATTTACATAAGCATGTATGTGGACATGTGTGGACGTATTTGCGTTTGTTTACCTGATTCTTTGGTTTTGCTTTCGCACGTTTTGAATTTGTTAAATTTTAAGTTTTTTACAAGCACTCATATTACTTATGTATGTACATATACCGTTTATGAATGTACATATATGTATACATATACACACCATTGTGCATATGTACGTATACTACCCCGAAAAAATACGCCTAATCCGGCATCCAGGAGTCATCAATCTCTAAGGAACACACCACTTTTGATCTCTTTATATGGACTGAACAGTTCGCATTTGTCCGGCATGCTTGTTCAGTTACATCCCGTGCTAATAAAAGGAGGGTAAAAATGGCTTGTTCATTAAAAAACAAAACATTATTACACTTCGACCCGGTTTTGGCCTGTAAATTGTATCCCAACCTCTAAACCTTGGTTAGCTCATTTCTTATTGTAAGTTTATCAACGAAACGGACGTACAACCACTGTACCTTCCTACTACGTTCTTCTACAATGCGTGGCCAGGCTAGCTTTCTGTACGGAATAATGCGTAGATACCTGAGTACCTCCGAAAGGAGTTTGCTTTGAAGAGAGAACCATGGCCGTTTCTACAGCACATAAGATGCTTTGTACTAGTTCGCGTAGAACTTAGGATTGCTTTTCCTCTCTACCGTCAGCGCAAGATCATTATCGGAAGCAATAACCTGTCAGAATGTATCACTCTTAAGTTCCATAAGGGTTCAATAAGTTGACTTTATTTTTATTTTTTTCAAAGTTTCAATCTATAGGCCTGTATGCAGCTCTCAAGAAAAGCAAAAACTCCATATAAAATGACGTACAGGAAATGGCTAAGAAATTTTCTTGAGTCAAATTTCCTTAAGGCAGTACGCAGTTCTTAAGAAATTTACTACGGTTTTCTAAAGTTTTTTGTGAAAAAAGAGCACAAGGCAACCCAGGTTTGCAACAGAAATATATGCCCGTTCCATTATTTCTTGAGGAAAGAGTGAGGCAACAGGCTGTGAGGTATCAAAAATGTCAAATTTCCTTGGGCACACACGCGAAATAATGGCAATTTTTTCTTGACCGTTTTCTTGAGAGCTGCATACAGGGCTTAATAAAGCATAAGTTAATAGATGATACATTCGTAAATTATTTTTAGTGTAATTACGTATGCGGCTTATGCTGACGTTGTGCCATTATACATTTCTTCATCCAGCTTAAGGAAATGCACGCTGATGAGTATATATGTAAATATTTTGTCTCCTTGCTCTGCCAATATTTCGCTTAGTGCGCTGTCGTGTTAATGCATCAAATTGCAACGTTGCACCGAAGCGGGTTTCAACTGATGTTAGTTAACCAACACACGGCAGCAGCAACACTGCAGTCTGTATCAAATATAACACCGTCATTGGCGCGTTTATTACGCGTTGTTTTGCGAATGATACCTTTCACACACAAGCACACGAACGTACAGAAATCATTACGTACATTTATTTCGTCACTTGCACCGGTTTTAACTCTTCAAGCCCCTACATGTGTATTACCTTTCTCATCACCTTGCTCTCATGTACATATGTATGTATCAGGGCTGTTGCGAATATTCGCATTCGCAAGCGCGGAGCTTCCGCATTAATTTTAACATTCGCATTCGCAATAATCAATGCGGATCTTTCGCGAATGCGAATATTAAAGGGACCGAAAATAACAGTTATTTTTTACGAGTTAAACTTGGCCAAATATTGTTTATTCTGAAATTAAACATCTTTCCGGATAATAAACAAACCGCTTATCGAAATTAAACAAGTTTGATATCAAACGAAAGAGGAATTAAATAGCTTTAAAACTGAAATGTGTAAACGAGGAAAGCCACTTATTGAAAAACATTTAAACAAAGAAACATTTTAATGAATTACCATAGAACAAAACTTGGGTCAGGTATTTGAATTTCTTTAGAATTAAATTATAAAAAAATGTATATATAAATAGAGGTGGTAACCCTCGTTCGTTATTATTGGTTACCATTGGTGTTTTAAAAATGGAGAATTCGGAAAAATTGTTCATTGCTATATTGAAGATTTAAAACATGCATTGTATATGGTTGCAATGTGTCGCAACTCTGCATATACAAACAGTTTGAATACCGCAGTATAACAGTATCCAAAACTTGTATTGATAATTTCGGTCCCTGGAATATTGCGCGCGCAAGTGCACTGATAAAATGTATATCTGGCCAGTCACAGAAGAAAGGATTAAAAATGAATTACAAAAACTTAAATCGAAACGATGTTTAAACAAAGATCTTGCCATGATACCAGTAGTTATTTAGTGGCGCAGGTTTGATTTACGAGCTTTTAAAGAGTTTTTATTAAATACAATGTTCCAATTTTTAAATTCAAGTACTAAAAAAAAACACTATTAAAAATTACTAACCTTTCCATTTTTTATTTACCTAAATCACCTAAAGTACTGAGCTAAATTATTTCTTAAAAATACTTGACACCGCATTCGCATCCGCATCCCCGGATGTCTCAATATTCCACATTCGCAACATCCCTAATATGTATGTATTTAAGTAAGTATATGGGTAGCGTTAATTTGTTTATCTCAATATTTTATGAATATTTATAAACGTCAGGGTTTTTTTTATTGCATTTAATTTTTTCCTACATTTGCGCAATTATTAATTCAAATTGTTTTTGGTTTGTTTGTTGCAGAGACAGCGGTGTATATATTTGGAAATGTACACTGTGTATGCACATTAGACCGACTCAGGCTCCATATCAAAGAAAATCGGTTCGGTTTCCCAATGCTAATGAAAAAATTTACTAATTTTATAACTCCCAGATATGTACATACATGAGAAAATGTTTCTCTTAAGAATACTTTTTTCTATCCTCCAAGAATTTGTCCTAAATGAAATATGCGACTTTTTAAAGTAAATATTTGGGTGGTTCACAAGGTGTCGTACGTGTCGTATTGTCGTATGTTGTAAAGTTTTTAACGGCTAAATAAATGTTTAGAGGACTTGAAATCACCACCAACTATTTTTTAACGGTGTGAAATTTCATAATAAAACTTTTGTTAGCTTGCGAATTCCTTAAATATAGTTTTAGCCGTTTAAAGTTTATGACATACAACAGTACCACAGTATACAACACCTTGTGAACTCCCTATTTGTATATTGAATGCGGTCCTGCTGACGTAAGACATCGAATTGAAACGAAATGTTATGGTGGGAGCCATAAAAATTTCAAATTTCTTGATTCGCTTGACGAAGGAACAATTTTTTTCCTGAGACATCTTAATGTACATATGTATGTGAATATCAACTTCTTCTTTGTGAACC